CATAGTTATTTAAATGTTAATACAGAATGAATATTAAGACAATTTTAAAAAATTTTATTTCTTTCCTTTTCAGGTAAGTTGCTGAGAAAGCTGAGAGAAGTTTAATTTGGAATAACTGTATTATTAATATACACTGAATCGGGCTGTTATCGATATCTATAATGTTGTATGTATTTCACATTACTTCGACAAACACACAATTCTCAGAGTAAGATTTCTAAGCCTTTGTCATCATCATCATTTTTTCACTTACGTCACTTGCAATGAGAAAAATAAAACCTAATTTAATTGCAATTCTCTCAATAATACAAACAACTGCAATTTCAATTGAGTCGAAAAAGCACAAACCGCATTTTTATTTACAAGTCACAAAAATCTCGGCACTCCCGCTCTCCAGCTTAACAATCGCTGCTATTCATCCCAATTTTTATGAGTCAACCACAAAAACTGGCATTATGAGCTTTTAGTAGACAGAAAGCCATAAATAAGCGATTACCACAAGTTTTTATAAGCATTTAACTGTTGAGAGCGCGTCTATAATTTGGTTTATAGTTCGATATGCTTGTAAATTTGCGTAAATTTAGTGGCGTTTTATCATTTTCAAAAACCTTTTCAATATATTAACTGTCAAGCGCACAAAAATTATGCAACAAAAATGGGAGAGGCGAAAGCAAACGAAAGCTGCGATTGAGATAAATATCGTGCATAAACATCATAAAAGAAAGCGCCATAAAAACGCGCAGATTATCTGAGAGCATGTATGGGATAAGTTCGAGGACTGGGGACACAAACTTTGAGTTTAGATATCAGCGACAGTTTATCTCTGCGTATTTCTGTGGCAAGGCGCAGGAACAGCCAGAGATGAGGTAGGGGCAATGTCAAAGCATTATGAAAAATGTAGCACGCCTAAAAATATGTTTGAAGCAAAAATGCAAAGCAATTTAGCGTAAAAAGGCAGCCAAGTGTGGGCAAGGGGGAAGGCAAAGGCATTGGCTTGGGCAAAGGCAAATTTCGATTCAGCCTGCTGGAAATATTGGGGCCGTTGTTGCCTCTGCGGAATGCCTTTGTGGCTGGCGTGAAGGCTTTCAAATCAAATGAGTGGGCACATTGTGCGCCCATATGAGAGAGAGAGAGAGAGGGAGAGAGAGAGAGAGAGAGAGGGAGTGGGAGAGAGTCGAGCGGGGGCCGGTGCTGTAGATTGTCATGTCGTGGCAGCCGCAACGCACGCCCCCCCACCTCAAAAAAACTAATTTATTACTTTAATTCGCGTTCAAAGTGGCTGCCGTTTGTCTCTTCCTGTTTTACAATTTTTGTTGAGTGCCAAGTTATAAATGATGCGTCATTCAGGACTTATCCCACACCAAGCAATACCCTCAATCCCCGCCTACACTCCTATTGCTATATCATATTATGCGCAACCATGGCGTCGTAAATCGCTTTTCGAATGTTGCATCTATTGGCATTTTCTTTGAATGTGTGTGTGTGTGTGTTAGTGTGTTAGTGTGCGTTGGGGGCATTTCGATTTTTATCAGTTTTGCGGCATCATGTAACCCAGTTTCCATTCTGTTGAACTAACCTTGTAAGCGTACACAAATTTATGTGTACTATTCGGGCTGTAAAGAGAAGGCGATTGCCGCCTTCTACTTTCTATACAACTGTCTCCGGCTTTGTGTGCTGCGCTTTGTTGTGATTTATTGCAAACTTCTTGGCGGATTTTCCTATTTTGTACAACAGTTTTTTCCTCTTCTTTTTTTTATTTTCCTTTTTTTTTTGGAGTTGATACTTTATTTCGTTTTTCTTCCACACTGACTTGCCAAGCTCCCAGGCTTAAAGTGATTTCTAGTTTAGTGTGTGTGCGTGTGTGTATGTGTGTGCGTGTGTGTGTGTGTGCTTTTGATTTACTGTTTGTTGTGATTTAAAAGTTTCTGTGTAGGAGCTGCCAAATCAAGTTGTCTTTTCATGGTCGTCTCAAGGCACACAAGAACCTTGAATTCAACTGTGTCATTTATTTTTAAGATTTACTTGAAAGGAGGTTTTTTTTTTTTATATATTTTTCTTCATCGAATACTATGTTAAAAGCTAAAGTTAGTTACTTTAGTTAACAATTTAATATTTTTTAACTTTTCTTTAAATTTTCTTAAGGGTTATACGCAAAAAGTCGTCAAAAGATTCTTATATTTACGCGTGCACTTATGGGCTATCGTTATGTCGTTTTCAAACTGTAATGGGAATATACTTGAACCAAGCATATATAAGGGAATTGCCCATAATTTGAATTGCATGCCATGATAATTTAAGCATTCGACTGCCAAGGGCTGCTTCAACAGCTGCACTTCACTCGGCTTAGTCCCTTGTGTCGTGTGTGTAATATCAGTATAAACAAAATCTAATGCAAATATCACTTGAACTGTGCCACATTAGGCCCTGCCCCACACTCACACACAGCTGCATTCACAGGCAATCCGCAAGCACCGCTAGACCAATAACCACTTAACACGTACACGACATCAACGTCTTTTCGTCCTTTCGTGCTCTCGCACTTCGTTCACGTCGTCGTCAAAAGCGCAAACAGCGCAGAGTAGAGAGCAAAAACGTTCGGCGCGCCAATAACAATCATACGCCCCATTGTGCAGCTTTCCTACAACAACTACAAAGACAACAACTGAAAGCGAGGGCACAGAAAAAAAACTGAAATCAAATTTTCAACCTTCATTAAACGCTTTGTTGACACGGGGCCAGCAACTTTAAACAGGCTGCCTCCTTCTGGTCTTTGCTCTGCTCTGCTCTGCTCTGCTCTGCTCTGCTCTGCTGCTTGTCTCCTTGTGACTTGCTGTTGCTGCTGCTGCTTAACACTTTTTATCATTTAATCCTGCTGCCGCAACAGGGCAATGCCAAGCTGGCTGGCGTTCGAGACCCAGCCAACGGTGGCCTGGTAATAAATTTTAAGGACATTAAATTTGTTAACAGCAATTTAACTATTAACGACAGGTAACCAGCACAAAAAAGGACACACTCTAGCAGGTCAAGCTGCCACACTACAATGAATTGTTTAGCTAAAATTATATTTATATAAATAAAATAAATATATAATTACAATTTAGATTGTAAGAAGTCAAGATTTTAATTTATTTATTTATTATTTTAAAAATTCCCAAGATTTCCAATATTAATCAATATATACATATATAATCTACTTATATATATTCCAATATTTTACGTATAAGGGAATTGGTCTCTAAATGTTCACACCCTTCATATTTCTATGAATGTTTAGCAATATGATTTCTTCGAGTGTACTAGCTCATCCATTAAGCAGGATTACCTTCATCTCCATATACATTCGTTTCGGCCTTCTCAGTTTCTTCCCCTTGACTTGGCAAGAAACGCGCGCATCGTATGTGGAATTTTAATTCGATGCAAAAGGCGGAAGCAGTCAACCAGACCAGAAACAGCCTGTACGGAAGTGGGTTAAAAGCAATGTACACACACACACACGCAGACACATACTCACGCACTCACACACGCACACATGCAGTTGTTTGTTTACTGTCTGCCCCTCTTGTTCTCTTTCCACGTCTCGTGTTCTTGTAAGCCATAATATCGATTAAGGATTATGATAATGATTGTGTGCTTATGTTGTAATTGCAAAACTCAAACAGCTACCGATGCACACACACCAATACGCGCACACACACAAACAAACACATGCACATAGAGAGCAGAGGTTAGGCACACACGCAGACGATGTGTGTGCGTGTGTGTGTGAGTGTGTGTGTGAGTGAGGTTTGTTGTCGCGCAGGTTTATATGCATGAATAAGTCGTGAAGATTGATTAGGAATTTGTGTCATGGTATTAAAGCGCTTGTTGTTGTCCCTTATAATTGCTCAATGTCGCGTTGTCGTTGTCAGGCTCATGAAAACACAAGTCACACGCACACACACACACAAGCATATATAGGCATACTTGGGTACGCCCCCATATGGTCACAGGAATATCCGCTTTTTGGTTAATTTGACAATATCTCAAATTTGGTACTGTTCTCCTTCTCTCTTCCGGTTTCTTCCCCCGTTTTCCCTGCCTTTTAATAATTTATAGTTAATTAACTGCTGATAAAATGACAATAAGCTGCAATTTCTTGTAAGCTACCAGGCCAATGAGAAATTGGTAATCAGTTCGATTAGAGTGTGTCAGAAACTTAATTATACCAAAAACTTGTTTATCTAGTAAGTGCTGCATAGTGCTACTTAGTAATGTGAAATACTAATATCTTTTATTATACTCCATAGTTTTAATCATTGGTAATTTGATTATAGGTAGATAATTGAAAGAACAATTTTGTGCTGTGCTTATGCTTCTCGTTACTCCTAAGGGAAATTCTTAGAATTGGAAACGCTTCTAACTTATGAATGTTGGTTTTTATACTCTTCTATAATTTTGTCATGTAGTGTGTAACGCTTAGAAGAAGAAAGCTCCGACCCCATAAAGAATATATATTCTAGATCAGCATTAACAACTGAGTTGATATAGTCCTTTGTCCATCTTACAAGGCAAAGATATCATATGTTAATCATTTTTTATTAATAATATACTGTTCTGCATTCTCATAATAAGCAGCTTTCTACCGCTATGGTTATTCGCTAGTTACACCTTTTTCTTGTAGATTCATCTTTTCTATTATCATTTCTTTTACTCGCTCTAATTTACTGCAATACTCGCCGAGGATTATTGTGTTCTCGTTACTTCTACTCGTTAATCATTATCTAATTGGGTTGATTATAACGTACCCCATATAACAAATGCTGTGTCTGCATACACATTATTCCGGTTTCTTACTTGTTACCAATTAGAGCTATCAACAATTTGAAAATGACTGGGATAGCTGAACCTGTTCCACAATTCTCAACATGGTTTATGCATTTATGCAACTTTTCTTGCTCTTCAAAGGCTTTTAGTTCTGTGTCATATTTTTTTGTTGTCAGTTTTTAGTTTATAAAAAAAAAAAAAAAAAAAAACAGCGTTGGGGCAACCAACTGACAGCTTCTTTTGTCACTTTTTGCTGAATGGTGCGAAGTACGAGCCACGGGGAAATGCCGCATAAAAAGCCGGAAACTTTGTTGCTAAACAGCCAAACAAATAGATATGAATATACGTGAGTCTGTGAGCTGAATGTGTTTGTGGCTTTGCTATAGTTTTTGCCCTATTTTTCCCCTAGCTGTTTTTATAACAAGCACTTCTCTTTATTTTATTTTTTTTATATTATTTCGTTGCTGCATTGTTTTTCATTAGGCATTAAAAATTGTTTTCCCTGCGCTGTCGACTTAACGCGGCTACTTTGTTATGAAGCGAATTTTTGCAGCTTTTCCTATGAGCATGCGGCGAAGCGAGAGGAAGAATGTGGGAAAGAGACGTGTGAGATTTTCTGAGAGCATGTCAGGCTAATGCATGCCATGCGCTTGTTATACTTTTTCCTGAATCCAGCTTTGTCTCCCTACTCCAGCTGTTGGCAGCTGTGATGATGCCAGAAGCTCTTAGCACTAATTAGATGCGGGATAAGGCATGTAAATTTTGTTAAAAGTCCGTTCAGCTTGTTACGTGAAAGCTGCAAGCCCAAGAGACACACATTTTAAGATTTCTATGAAATTATAAATTATGAACTTATTGAGAGATTACTGCATAACATAAAATTCGTGCCTGTTAAAGCAAATCTGGTAATTGCTGGTAGCTTAAGAAATACAAAGTACTTCTTTCTGATCGTGAATGGACGCGTTTCAAGTGCTGAGCATTCATATTTTTTTAAGACAAACATATATTTGTATTATCTTTTTATCACATTGCCTTAAAATATTAAAACTGTAAGCCTCGAGCTCATGAAAATCGCATAGAAAGGCGGAGAGAGAGAGAATAATTGCTTGAAATGAAAAGGCATAAAGTTCTGGATCGGGCCATTTCTATATGATTTGTTATATCAACAAATTGAATTGTTTATCCAAAACAGAAGCAACATAGAAAAAAGTCTTCATACATCGTAATATATAATTTATCTAAACGAAATGCTGCCTGAACGTCCCAAATGGCCAACAAGCGACGAGTTATTTTAAAAATGTTACAATGTCTTCAAATTGGGTACAGTAGAACGCCCCTAAATGCCAACACGTGCCTGACATACGGCAAATTATATCGATTGCCACAATAGCAGCATCGGAGAAGCAGCCAAAGAACGAGAGGGATATATAGGGAGCGCGTGAGTGAGAGATAGTCCCTGGTAAAGGACACCTTGGAGCTTTAAATAAATAAAATTTCTCGCTGCCAGCGAAATCCCCTAAAATCACGCTTTGTATGGCAAATTCAGGCTGAGAATTCAAAATGTGCGTCGAATTCTAAAAGCAGACGCAGATAAGATGATAAAATATCACATAAAAAAATATTTTGCTTTATGTGCGCGCGGAAATTTTCCACTTGATGTTCCTTTTTTTCGCTTTGGTGACGCGTCGCGAGCATTTAGCAGGTTCCATAAGGTGAACTCTGCCTGCCTGTGTGTGGAGTGTGTCTGTGAGTGTGCAAATATTATGCCATTTCCGGCCAAAGTGGTTTCTGATAGTCATCCAAGCCAACAACTCCGCGTACCCGCCCCCCATCCCTGTTGCCGCTGGTTAGCCTAGTCGTCTGTGGGCCCACTTCAAAATATCGATTTATGTCTTGAGTTGAGTAGAAAAAGTTTTTTTGTTTGTTTGCATGCCGCAAAATTCAAATAGCTGGATTAAGTCAGAGTCACATCTAGTGGCATGGCTAAGAGCCAGCTCCATTGCCAATCGATTGATGAGCAAAAGATTTTTCGCCAAAGCATTTTGGCATTTTACTCTCAATGGTTTTCCTTCCCGTTTCGCTTGACTTCGTAGCACGTAATTGTTGAGCTTTTGCTAATTTGCTCAATATGCTGATGGCTCTCAGCCATTTAGTAACTACCGAGTGCATCCTTTCTCGCATTATAGAAACTACATTTTAATACTGCGTTCAAAATACCGAGCACGTTTCAAGTTTTATACAACTTACGCTCTAAAATGGCTGACAAAGAGGCCAAAAGGTGGAAAAATTAATTCAGTAAAGAGCGTTCAATAAATGCTCTGTAGCTGATAGCCTCGGGGTAAGGTATACTAGTTAATATGAAAGTTTACCAATATCATCTACATCAAGTGGAGAAAACAAAAAACTAATTAAAAACTGCAGAGTTCTAGGAAGTAAGTCCTTAAAAGTAACTTTTTTGGGTTGCCAAATAGCTTATTAATGTTACATATACCTCTGTAAAATCATTTAAAAGCAAACCATAAAAATTAAATTCTCTTTTGTGAACTTTTTTTATATGATAGAAACATTATTTTCTTTGGCAAACTATTTTGCGCCACACTTTCAGAAATAATACCTCATAATTTTGAAGCGTTACAAGCTATATAACAAATTTGTGCTACCCGCCCGAAAAAATGGGCATAACTCCAACTATTTGCACATATCCCAACACCCAAAGAGCCAGAGGAAGAACAGCAGTATCAGGCGCAAAGCAAGGACAACAGCCGTTGGCTAAGAACATTGCTCTGCACATTTTTATCACGTATTTCTAATTAGCACACGAAATGCGCCACTGAGCCCAGAAGCGAATGTCAGGCAGCTGCTGTTCCTATGCTTTCCTGTCACTCTTCCCCCTCCGGCAGCAGGGCAAAAGTCAGGGGGAGTGCATTAGAGTAGGATTGGAAAAATGCGCCAATTGCATGAGGGTTGCTCCTGGGACTGAGAGTTAAAGCTGAAGCTGCAGCCGGAACGCAGCTGCGGCACACGCCAAATAATATCAACGTCAATTCGAAATTTTTGACATTAAACTACAGACAGTGAGCGGAGAGCGAGAGGAAGGCGAGAATGTGGGGCATCGGAGTCGAGGAAGTGCAGTGAATGAACCGTTGGCGATGGCGATGGCGATGCTCGGGACGTGCTTTAACGCCTGTCTTCCAGCTTTCAAGTTTGTTTAACCCATGCAGGCGGCGACTGTTTGCCGACAGAGGATCAAGTTTGAGTTGCCCAAGCCCTGGCACGTGTCTGCTTGGCATGGGGCTTCTCATGCCCCCAAACTTCCAGCCCAGGAGCCGAGTTCTTGGGCTGGGAAGGGGGGGATTTTAAAGAGCGGCGCTTAATTGCTTGAAAAATTGACCCACAAATGCCGGTCGTCTGTCATGTTTGCCCAATGCGAGCCAATCAATTTCCATTGATTTTATTAAGCAAATATATAAATTAAATGGGGGGAAAACAAAAAACACGCACAATTACTAAAGTCAAAATAATGTACGTTAACTTTTCTTTTATTTGAACAACTTTTAACTGCAAACAAAATGCAATGACAAATTAGCCTTACCTGGTTATACTCTGTATTCAGGCCAAAAGTTTTATAGCTGATAAATCAGCATTTAATAATTTTATAAATCAATTTTTCTATGCCTTTTATAAATAAATAAGTACTCAATCAAACGAAAAGACCGATAAGTTTTCGTCACTGAGTAATAAATTTGTAAATAATTCGTACAGGGTATTAAAATTGCATTCAGTTGCTAAATGTATTCAACGCCCTCCACACTGTGTGTAGTATAAAAACAATTGGCTTTTTGCATAAATAAATAACTTTTGCGAAAAATTGCGACTGCCTGTCACGTGTTGCTGTTGCTGTAACTGTAACTGTGACAGATGATGTCATATGTGCGTTGTCCCTGTCGACAGTACGAGAAATTCGGCCGCAAGACTTACATGAGCATGAATTTAATTAAGCTACATGGAACAATATTTTGGCCGTTATAAAAATAAATATAAAACACTCTGCAGATGCAAAAAAATGCAGAAATATATGAATATTTGATGTTCTTAACAGAAATAGATTCTAGCGAACTGCAACTGTCAATTTTTGACAATTCTCGAAAAAAATGCAACTTTATTCTGATTCAAATTTAAATAAGAAGCTTTTTGAGTAAAAGCTAAAAATATTGATTATTTTATTTTCCCTGCTGTTAATTGTTGTAAGTTTTCGAGCCGTTATTTTCATGTTTAGTTGCCTAATTAAAATTTATTCAGATAGAATCGATATCCAAATATCGAGCATATGTTTGCGCTTATTAAAATTGTGTTTTATGCTATTTGCAGTTAATTTTCCTGTTTAAATACAATTCTAATGCCAATTAGGCAAATCGAAAACCGAAATCAAGCGCAAAAAACAAATTTAAAGTAAACAAAAAATTTGAATATTGGAAAATTATGCTGTTTACCTTAATATGAAAATACAGATTGATTATGATATATATTAAAATTGAAATTAATAGTGCCTTTTGCATGATAGCTTTTAGTTATCAAACCTAGGTACAGGGTATCTGCTAATGAAAAACTCTTGACGTGACACATGCTTCGTACATTGCTCTTAATCTTGTATCTTGTAGAGCTTCAAAAAATTAAGAACAAAATTAAACGAAAATAGTGAAAGATCCATTTAAGTTGGATTTTTCCAATTGGATGAGTTGCTGCTGTTCCTGCTGCTGCAGTTTTCCGCACCATCAATTCCAAATCAATCAATGTCATTCTCCTATAAATCATGCACATAAATAAAGGTGTATGAAAAGTTTTGTTAACTCAACACACACACACACGTGCAACACAAACAGCTGCTGCATTATATATTATTAATAATAATGTGTTGTGTATGCATGTGTGTGTGTGTGTGTATAGGTGTGTCGTCTATCTTGTATACCATTTCCATTTTAAAAGCAGCAAAACTTTGTCTACCAAGATTTTCTCGAGTTTTTCTCAGTAACGCGTGTGTGTGTGCGGGTTGTGTGTGTGTGACGCATTTTCAATTAGTTTCAATGACACTCAGCACGTGGCATCGTCGCACGTTGCCTCTTTGCAAATGTATCAACGTCATTCACACTGCAAAGGAGCAGGTGAGGGCTGCGGAGTGGGAGGAGATGAGGGTGGGGGAATGGCTGATAGTCGGCAAATAGATTGGCAATAAATGCACCGTTAAATCAGCACCATTGTGGCAATAACTAGAGGTAGAAGTAGTTGGATGTTGTCGCAAGAGCAAGAGCTCATGCCCATATATTGAAAGCTTGTGCATGAATAATCAGTTGAAAAGAGGAGTATATACACCGAATAGTACTAGTATAAAGTGCTTGTGAGACGACATATTCTCCTTGTAAGACTTCAGTTTACATCATGTGAACTTGTTGTAGAAATAAGTTATAGAGGCTACAAGTAGCGCGTAGAGAATGGAAATAATATACTTGAAGGAATATAGAATGCAAGCAACTCAAAGTTTTTCTCTTTGAAACTGCGATACAAGGCGAAGTGTAGAAACGCATCAATTGCAATGAGCGCATCATAGTTACATAATCGGAAAAGAAAAAAAGCAATATGGAAATGCAAAGTAAAATAATTAAACTTAAATCGTATTGAGAACCGATTTAACTAGAACTGAAAGCTATTTCTCCATCTAATCAATGATTTTTATTTATATTTTTCACTGCATGCATCTCTTTAATTACACTCTCCTTCAAGAGCAGCTTTATATCATACCTTTTCCCCATTTTAATCCATCTCTATTCCAAATTTTAGTCGTCTCCCTTACATTACCTACCCTTGGCTAGTTGCTGCGCTTTCCCACACTTTAAGCTCGCTTTTCAGCTTGTTTAATTTATTAACAATTTAAGTGAGACGCTTGTTTGGTTTAAATTCATTTTTTAATTTGGCCCACATATTTATGTAGAGTTTCCCTGCACTGCACACACCATTTTTTTTAATGTGTAAAATGTGCTTTTAATTAAATTTTGTTGAGAGAACTAAAAAAATAAATTTAAATTAATGTGAGTGTATGTTTGTTTAAGCGCTGCTCAGAGCATGCACATGAGGGCCGTATGTACTTTATATATACACAAACGTATATATAAACGCATGTAAAACAAAGCATTCTTTTCGTTTGGTCATACTTTTTGTCAGACTGCTCAAAAAAGATGTTTAACTTTTTTTGATAAAGTGAATATTGACAAAAACTAAATACACAGCAATTTCTCAAAAGGCCAGCATCTGATATTGTCCAACAGAATTGATGTTTTGTATTATATATATATATATTTTTTTTTGGTGGGGATTAACTTTAAATCATTCATAAAATGCGCATAATACCAACACATTGACCACGAACGATTTGCATAAGTCCGTTTACTCGTTTTCAGCTCTCGCTCGGTTTATTTTTTTCGAGGAAAACAATATGCATTTAAATGCCGCACATGCATTTAATAGCCGTGC